TCTAATTCAGTTTGCTCAGGAAGTGTTTTTCTCTCCCTCAAAAAAAAGTCACAGTAGGCAGAGTTTTGTATGAGCTTGAACCACAAAGAGTTCAACTTTAGAAAATAATTATAAGATAGCTGTGGTTGTCTGAAGATCTTCGTAAAGCTATTTATTCCTAACAATATGAGTATAAGACTATGACGATTTCAGTGAAGAAATCAACAAAATATATTCCTGTAGTAAAATTCTAAGAATGAATCGAAGGCTTCATATCTAGATATGCCAATTAGACTGTTATAAACATCAGTAAAGCTACTCATTGTGGTGAAAGGAGTATAAGAGGAATCTATGAGAGGAAATGGATCGATTACCATTCTTCGAGTCAGGTTGTACAGTTTAATAGCGTGTCTCTAATGAAACGAGAACAAACGTCGATAAAGTGTTATTGAAATGTGATCTATTTCACCAGAAGTCGGAAGTAGAAAGATGCCTCGAGATCTTTCATACAGGTTAGCATAGCTTTTAATAAGAAATGCCGACTAGTTTTATATGCCATCCTGTTCTTACGGAGGAGGGTCACCAACTGTTCAATCACTTTTGTATTGAGACTACATGTAATATGTAGATCCAAATGAACTATGAATATGCTGATAAGAATTCAGGTCGCTAGCTTGTTATTACAGAGATACTGAACTTTTATGGTGATTTTCAAATAAATGCTATGGTTCACCTCAGAAACACCAGAAAAATTGATTTTCGAATTTCGAATTTCGACTTGAAACTTTGCATTGTAGCAGGCGTCAATGAGAATCGATTTTGTGAATGCTTTAAATCTGCTGGCTGCTCCTATCTACAAATACAACTATGACGATAACATGTTTTTTTGCATCCTTCAAATAAATCCGCAGATTTGATGTTTTCATTTCAGGATCGAAAAAAACCGCAAGGTCTGAAGTATTCACAAAAATCTATTCTCATTAAGACCTGTTTCTATGCAAAGTTTGAAGTCGAAATTCAAAAAATCAGTGTTTCTGATGTGGATGTGAAGAGATGATCAACGCCAACTCTGAAATCTATATTCACATCCACACGCACATCTCACACACCCCCCAACGAGAAGTCAGTGCAAAACTATAGTCCGATGTTTGGTGATGCGCTTGTTTGCAACATTGTTTGGTTTCAGATACGCCTTTGAATTCAAATTTGATCTCTTTTGTGAATTGTGTGAGTGATTGTACAGATAAATTATTTAATTAATTTCAATAGATTTTTGACTACATACATGTCGTGAGGAGGATGAGTGACTATAATGATCTCCTTCTCCAATTCATCTTCCCTCGTTCTGTTAAATATAGGCAATATTCTACTGCATTCAATGTCGACTATTTATGCTTGCAAATATATACTCAATATCCTTTCTTCTTGTTTTTAGGAGTCATCGATAGTAATATGTTGCATAATGCTCAGTGAATGAAATAGTGGTGAACGATGAGGGCATAGATGTTTATATCAGGAAAGAGAATCGACTGGTGCAGTCTCTACAGCATATATAAAGTGGTAGCATCGGCGATGAAACAGCATTGGACAAACAACTTCTTTCACGGTCGACATCACTAATTAACAGATACCGTTTATGTCAGTAAGAACGAACGATAAAAGCACGGTTTCTTATACGACAGAAACAGGTAGCATACACATGTGCACAAAGTTATTTTGGCAAACATGGATCAATTATTAGCTCAGATTTTATCAAGTTTACAGCAAACATTCTGCTACAAGAAAAAGCATAATTGTATTATCAATATTTTGTATTGTATAGATATTTGTAAAATGGATGTAGTTGAACATTCTAACGAAAACCATAGTGCAATTCATGTAAATATTCGATTAGTTTTTCTTCGAATAGGTACGTTTTACAGATCAGATATTTGTATATTCTCATTGAAATTAACCAATGAAACAATTCATTACATCCTCTCAATAACATGATACATTACAGATGAACTTGATACTCAAGCAGAAACGTTTCAAGCTCATGTGGTTATAGAAGCTCGATGGATTTAAAAATCGAAAGATGATGAAAATAAATTTATTTCTACTCTTTCTATTAATGATCAAAAACAATTATTCGATGGAAAAATTATAAAACTTTCGAAAGATTATTTAGAAACATATTGCCACCAACAAATATTTCTTCTTAATGTCTGTCGAGATCGTGACGAAGAAATATAATTCGAAAATTGAAATACGTGATTTTCATGATATTCAAGGAAGTTTTTATTCAAAATTTGATTTACATCATTTTCCAAATGATATTCAAGAATTAAACGTATCAATTGTAACAGCTTTATTTGATACAGAAGTCATTTTATAGGCAGATGTAAAACAACTCTCAGGAATTAATCATCACGCATTTGCTGATCAGCAAGAATGGAAATTATATGATCATGTTGAAACGCATACTAACTTTATTAACGGTTTTTTATTTCAAAATGATGATGATGAAAAGTTAAATATACTTGGGATGAACGAAAACGATCAATCTTAACTACAACATGCCATGCAAGCGAATGATGACCTGCAGAAAAAGAGAAAAAAAATGTTTCGAATATTCTAGCTCGTCGTTCAAATTACTTCTTTTGCAATGATTGTTTCTCATCTTTTTAATTATACTAATAAGTTTTAGCTCATTTGCCATTCCATCAAAGTGTGTAAATTTCATTGTTCTAGATGTTCTTTATTAAAAGAGTTTGTTTATATTAGTACTATTCAAAATCGGATAGATATAGCATAGTAAATTGCTAGTAGATTGATTGTCATACTTATCTTCTTTTGTTTTTATCAATTATTGTTTTTTTATTGTGTAGCCAAATGTATCATATCTTACAGCTATTGATCGATATGCAATCGTATCTATAGTTGTCTTGCTCATTCTATGTGCTTGGCATGCAATCATTGGTACTATTGTCTTTATTCGCGATCGTTATGATGCTTTAAGTCCAGGTTCACGTTGAACATGGCTCGATCGAATAGTATTTGTGTCTCTTCTCACTCTCAATATAGTTATACATTTAGTATTAGGTATTTGGTATTGACACGTGTTTCATAGACGACGATGATATAAGAAGACGCTTGACAATCGTTATTCAGAGATAGTTAAGCAAATTAAATCGAAATATCAATCATCAAAAACATTCAATCAGAATGATACAATGAATGACATTTATACAGTATAAATGATGATTGAATTCATAATTAAAATAGTTTTGATTTTACTAAGTATGGGCAGTGCATATAACGACGAGTGTCTTTTGGTGAAGTTTTATTCATAAATAAGCAGAAATAAAGCTTTGATTCTAACTGAAAATCTGTATGATTTTTACAGATTTGTATGGTGTTGGCAAATTTTGACATAACAGAGCTCACTTCATGAGCGACATTATACGCTATAAAAAGATGCAAAATTCTAAACCATGACTCCGTCAGACTTGGAGAATCCAAATAAAAATCAATATATACATATATATTCCACTCTAAATAATGTTCTAAATGGCCAATTTTAAGACATAGTAACATGAAGATGATTCCTTTTAGTTCAAGATTTAAAACTTTCTCCTATTACTAGATATCACGATGAACAGTGTTTGCTATATAGAATGACTTGGTTTTTATGTTCGCTATGTTCTGAAACTAATGTCGATTTTCTAATTTGGGCTTAAAATGGTTTTTACACATCCTTAGTAAAAGTACTCACGCTAGAAAATCTCATGAGTAGTCATGAGTACTCAACAGTCATACTCGTGCCAGAATCCGAGTAGCTGAGTACTCTTAGGGTGAATTTGATTGTGGATTTTTGGTTTGTACCATCGAAAACAAAAGCTTCCCTTTTGCATTTGCGTGCTCTCTGCGTATGTTGTTTGCGATGGCCCGCCATGTGTCATGATCAGACATGTCGCTTCGTTCAGCCCCTCACTACTTTACTGTATCTCAATGTAGATAACCTTCTGATTTTGCATGTTTGTACTCTGGCGTATTCATATCTCAGAAGATCCATATTTTCTCCGTGTCGTCTTTTCCTTGTTGTCATATGGATATTTGTTCCTAGTTTATGAATAACCGTTCTGGATATCTAAATGCGAAGTCCTCTTGTCTTCGTTCCATTTTATTGCCGTTGGTTCACTGTGCGTTTCATTGGAGCTGATTTGCGGTTCGTTCTCTTAATTATCTCTCAGCTCCTTGGATGTGGATGTGGCATGTTTTTGTAACTAAAAAGGACAATAATGTCCACTCCATCTACACTCGCACCATCTCTGTCTACTCATAACACCTAATCATTCACTTATACAATAAATCATTTCCACCTATCACAGAATTTAACATCAATCTGGGAAGAATACCCATTCCAACCATGCATGTGACAGACCCTTCTCAAGAAGTAAGAAGGAATTTATTTGAAGTAGTCATTGGATTTGTGCAATCGCTTTTTGAAGGCCATGATAAGGAAATATTACGGGTGATCGAAAGGTTTTCGAACATAATTGCAACTCATATTTCTTTTGTCCTTCTCATCCTTGATAAAATGCATGACAGTCATTGAGTAACATATATAAAATTACAATTTAAAAGAGGCATTTATTAGAAACTAAAATATAATTAACGTTTAAATTGTCCAGATACAAAAGAATGCATTTTTGAACAAACTTATGATAATGAACTGATGATGTATCATTTTCGATACGTTAATTTTGTAATTTTAAATTTCCATAGTGTGTTTATTTTGTATAAAACAAGATCAGAAATAAAACACGAGTGAAACAAGAAAAATATGAGTTTCAATTTTGTCCCAAAACTTTTCGATCACACGTTATTCTAAACAATTATTCAACCGAAATGCTTGCTTTTGCTACACAAATACAAATTATTAATGGTTTATTCACACAACAAATTTTTTTCATCTTTTACAAAATTTAACCACAATATAAAGAAAGTGTGCCTTCCAGCCATGTATACGTTGGATCTCTCTCAACGAAAAAAAACAAGTGATGTGAAATAGCTATTGATTTGTGCAACCACTTTTTGAAGACTATGCTAAGAAAATATATTCTGACGAGTCATTCACCCAGAATGCCTACTTTCACTCTACAAATACAAACTATTGAATGTTTATACATACATCGTAATCAGAATGTTTCGCCGTTGGATTTGTTTGCGCGTGCTCTCCAAACCCAACGTAACCCTTGCACAAGTAGTGTGCTGTTATCGCAAATATACGAAAGCTGCGGGTTTTATTTAATCTTCGTTATGACAAAACACTCAGAATAATTTAGCATCTATCTCTCTTTCCATTGATTGGACGGAGCTTTTTCTTGTAAGTTGTTTGCAAAGCACATCCTGTCTCACACGTCGCATTCAACAAGCAAGTCATATTTTCTCAAGCTAAGTCGAAGATCAAAGCTTGCGACAAGAATGAGCTGTAGCTTGTTTTCCAATGATTTGTGCTGAGTTGCAGATGCAGGTATGGATGTGCTTTTGAAGAGAATTAGTTTACGCCGAATCGGCAAAGTTGAAACGAGATCTCAGCAGGTTTCTGACAAACTGTTCGTCGGATAAGGATCTGTTTGATATGTTTTATAGTCTATCACACGATCATACAACTATAGTCTCTATCGTGGCTTTTCATGATTTCAAAGATAGACTTTTAGGTCATTTGTATTTTACACACAATTACGCTGGGAATGAACCAAAGATGACACCTGACTTAAAAAATTAACCATTTGAGGACCGGTGGTCCATTCTTGGATCACCTATTTTTCAGCAAAGAAAAAAGTGTTTAATTCACATTAAACAATTAAATATGAAAGGTCATTAAGGTCATAAACAACTGCCTTTGTCATTTCGTACTTTTCTTTTCTTTCTTTCCTTCTCTCCTATAAATTCTTTTTTCCAACATCCTTTGTTCTTGCAGCTAAGGTACAGCGACGTCATAATTTCTCTCTTGCTCCCTGATCTTGTGTTTTTCGAGAATATTCTCAATCGCCATTGGGTATATATATATATTCCCGTTCTCATTGACGAATTTACGTTGCTCTTGGATTTGTAAAGCAGATCATTTCTCTTCCAAACTTGCACTCTTTATTTCTTTATATCGTTTGTACAATTAAAACTAAACAAATGGATTCCTATGGGAATGATGAAGTCGATGACGAGTCCTGTGATTCATATGCTAGTGATGATACTAGCGAGAGTGACTTCGATTTCGATTCCGATGAACTGGTCGATAATTTTGATGAGCTTGAACTTTCTGATGAAGATTCGGATGTATATGCAGACCAGCTGGATTCAATCAATGAAAGCTATATCACAGATGGCGGCTTCACCTCAATCTCTCTCAAAGACCAAAGTCCGATTTCAGTTTTTAGGACGTTTTTTACTGAGGAAATTATAAATCTGATCAGCGACCAAACCAACATTTATGGAAAAGGAAAGAAACGAAATAACAATCAGAAGAAAACGAGTAAATGGAAGGATGTGAACAAGAAAGAGATTGAATCGTTTCTCGGTTTAATTATTCTAATTGGTATCAATAACTTGCCAATTATGAAACTTTATTGGAGTAAAGATATGGTATTCCATAATACATTTATTTCTTGTATCATGTCAAGAAATCGTTTTCTTCAAATTTTTTATAATCTACATTTGGCTGATAACTCATTAGAACCAAAACGAAAATCCACAGACTACAGTAAAATTTACAAAATTAAGGATTTTACTGAAATTTTACGAAGAAATTTCCAAAAAAATTTTAACGTTGGCCATTATGGTACAATCGACGAAAGCATGATAAAATTCAAGGGAAGATCAAGCCTCAAGCAATATTTACCTCTAAAACCAATAAAAAGAGGTTACAAAGTTTGGTGTTTATGTGATCCAATCACTACTAGTAGTTATTTATTCAACTATCAAATCTATGTGGGACAAGAGGAAACCAGTAGAACAGAAACAGCATTGGGCGAACGTGTTGTTTTCGGCCTTATGTCTGGTCATAACTTCCAAGGCAAACATCTATATTTCGATAATTTTTTCACTTCCCTCAGATTATTAGAAAAGCTAAAGCTACAGAACATAACAGCCTGTGGAACTATTAGACCAGATCGAGCAGGTATTCCATCGGATTTTGTCAAGAAAAATAAAACGGAATGAGGAGATTGCAAGTCAATGATTATATCGAACAGCATTGTCTTCATATGAATGGACACCCAGCATGGTTTTTTGGCTTCAAATTATCATAAAGACAACGAAGTTGTTCCGGTTTTCCGTCGTTTGAAAAATGGTCAACGTATTACAATTGTCTGTCCGAGAGCAGTGAAAGATTACAATCAGTTTTCACATGGAGTTGACCGACTCAATCAAAGAATATCGTGCTACAATCTCGATCGCAAGTCTAAAAGGAACTGGTTGCGAATGTTTATTTATTTTCTAAACACTTCTATTTTCAACTCATTCATTTGTTATAATCAGTTACCTCAAGATAAATTAACATACTTGAACTATATGGTTTCAGTGGCGAAGTCTCTCTGCTCCAGTAGTGAACGAATAAGTCATGGAAGACCTCTTTCTGAAAAGAAGTCTAAACCAGCATCACCAAAAACCGTCCTTAATTTTGATAATAAAATGCATTTGCCTCTGAAAGGAAGAAGAAGATGTGCATATTGTAGCAGCAACGAAGGAAATTTTCGATCCAACCTCGATTGCTTTAGTTGCAAATTGCCATTTTGTTTATAAGATGAAAAAAATTGTTTTTTTTATTATCATAAGATTTTTATGTAGTCATTTTCAGTTAAAATAAAACAAAAAAGTTGAAAAATGTTTTTTTCCAAGTGAAAAAAAAATTCGGTCCTCAAAGGGTTAACGAAAGAGCAGTAGCATGTTACATTCACTTTCGCATATACCACGTAGGCCAAGGCTCACGCAAGGTTTGTAATACTTGTATATTTTTTTCGTGAGCGAATTCATT